TTGGTTTCCTGAAAGCAGTTTATTTGCTTCTTCTTCAAATGCAGACTTGCCCAGTTAAATGTTATCCAATCACAAAAAAATAATGGCAGATTAGAATTCCTCACACTCAAAAATATATATTTAAGACCGCTCACTGAAGAAATTTGCAAATATCAAGTTTTGCTCCTTAAAATGGCACACCCTAAAATGACATCCTCATTGGATATGATTTCCCAGCCTGGCCCAACAGTCAGAGGCAGGTGTGTTGACTGGCTGGTATGCTCACACGCAGTGAGATAAGGCTGTTCTGCCCTGTATTTGTCACATGCAGCATTGCTTTCATTCAACTGCACTTCATCTTCTAGCAAAAATTACATTATTCATAGACTCGTAGAAGTTGGAAGGGACCCCAAGGGTCATCTAGTCCAACCCCTGCTGTCCCCACTGGCAAAATGATATAACTTGTGAAATCCATTATGCACATTAAGTATGTTATTGTTATTCCACCCCATTCATGACAATGCAAAGGAAACACAATGCAAATGGGGAAGAAGAAAACCATAATCAATTACATAGACCACAATCAATTATATATAATTTGTGGGCTAAAAGCAAGAACAGCAAATACCGATCAAATTTGCTGGACTGATGTCCAGACAGATAAAAACAACAAGAACAACAACAACAGCAATTTATTTATACCCCACCCATCAGGCTGGGTTTCCCCAGACACTCTGGGTGGCTCCCAACAGAATATTAAAAACACAATAAAACATCAAACATTAAAAAAACTTCCAATAATAATAATAATAATAATAATAGTAATAATAATTTATAAGTGAATAAGTGAATGACAGCAACTTCTGCTGCCGTTCCTGTTTTATGTCTGAATTCTTTGACAGCCCTACTCTTGGATTGCATTTTTTTAAATTCCCTGTACAGTGGTACCTCTGATTACGAATGCTTCTGGTTACACACACTTTGGGTTACGAGCTCCGCTAATCTGGAAGTAGTTGCTCCTGGTTGTGAACTTTGCCCCAGGATACAAGCAGAAGTTGTGCGCCAGAGGTGCGCGCAGCGGGAAGCGCCATTAGAGAAAGCACGCCTCAAGATAAGAATGGTTTCAGCTTAAGAACGGACCTCCAGAACAAATTAAGCTCGTAACCAGAGGTACCACTGTACTCAAAACAGTTGTCCTATTAAAAAGTTAATATTATTTTAAATAAATTCTTCTCCAACATGATTGTTTTAATTCTAAAACATTTTCTCATGTAAGAGTGAAAGTGGGGAATACTCCAAGGAATGGATAGAAGGGCAGAGTCTGACTCTCTAAAACTGCGCCAAGTCTCCATCTAAATGTCTTTGTTAATAAGCAGAATTAAACTTAGAAAACATATCTGCTGTAGGCAAAAAGCAGGGGCACTTGGTATCCAGGCAAAGAGACTTTCTCCAATATTTGCTGAAAGCTGGAGATGGAATTGATTCCAGATTTCCTGAGGCAAGTTATATAGATCTGACTCAAACCAGGCATGCAGAGCTTCCCTGCATCTTTCAGGGGACTAGGTTTTGTCGAGGGGGGGTGCTTTTGTGTTCGGCTTGTAAATTTTACAGGAGCATTTTGCTGGCTGGTCCAGCTATTTGATATTTCAGCCTATCCTTAAGCTAATCAAGAGATGAATCAAAGGTCCAGTGCTACAAAGACCTTACTAAGACTAGGTAAAGGTAAAAGGTAAAGGACCCCTGGACGGTTTGTTGTTGTTGTTGTTTAGTCGTTTAGTTGTGTCTGACTCTTCATGACCCCATGGACCAGAGCACGCCAGGCACTCCTGTCTTCCACTGCCTCCCGCAGTTTTATCAAACTCATGTTCGTAGCTTCGAGAACACTGTCCCACCATCTTGTCCTCTGTCGTCCCCTTCTCCTTGTGCCCTCCATCTTTCCCAGCATCAGGGTCTTTTCCAGGGAGTCTTCTCTTCTCATGATGTGGCCAAAGTACTGGAGCCTCAGCTGTCCAGTCAAAGGCGACTATGGGGTTGTGGCACTTACTTTCTGGCCGAGGGAGCCGGTGTTTGTCCACAGACAGCTTTCTGGATCATGTGGCCAGCAGGACTAAACCACTTCTGGCACAATGGAACACCGTGATGGAAGGCAGAGCGCATGGAAATGCCATTTACCTTCCTGCCGCAGTGGTACCTATTTGTGTACTTGCACTGGTGTGCTTTTGAACTGCTAGGTTGGCAGGAGCTGGGACAGAGCAATGGGAGCTCACCCCGTCGTGGGGATTCAAACCGCCGACCCTCTGATTGGCAAGCCCAAGAGGCTCAATGGTTGAGTCCACAGCACCACCCGCATCCCTAAGACTAGCATGCCTGTGGGTATCTGGTGGTCTCTCCTGGTGTCTTTTACTAAAGCACCATCAACCTGCACCCTCACAGTTTCATTTTCTAAGGCACTTAGTTCAAGAGAGCAATTGTCCATGGTTCTCCAGGGTTCCAGGTAGGAGACATTCCCAGACCCACCAGGAGATGCTAGGGATCAAACCTGGGGTTTTCTGCATACAAATCAGATGCAGTACAAATGATCTGGCCCGGATAAGGCAGTTTCACTTAACAGATGTGCATTTTGTTGCCACAGAGATATAGGAATTCTGTGTCAGACCTCTGGTCCCTCCAACTCAGTATTGTCTACACTGACAGGAAGCAGTTCTCCAGGGCTTCAGACAAGGATATCTCCTAGCGCTCCCTGGACATGCAGACCCCCCCATGTATCTCCATTTTCTTGGGACTGACCTGGATTTACAGAAGGCATCCCAATTGCTGAGTTGATCCTGGAATGGTGCACTTTTCCTTAGAAGGTCCCTATTTTCATTGGAGAAATGTTGGAGGGTATGGAGCTATGCGACCCCCGAGCCAAGGAGATAAGTAAATATACAACCTTTAGAAGATGTCTGAAGGCAGCCCTGTATAAGGATTGTTTTTTTTAAAAAAAAATATATGTTGTATACTGTTTTTATATATGTTGCAAGCTGCCTAGAGTGGCTGGGCCAACCCAGACAGATGGGTGGGGTATTATTAATTAATTAATTTAATTAATTAATTAATAATGTAATATAATAATTATTAAACATGAAAATAAATAAATAAATAAATAAATAGGACAGCCCTATTTTAATTGGAGAAATGATGGAGTGTGTGGACATGTCAGAGACTGAACAATTATTTATTTCAGCTTTCTATATCACCCAGGTTTTTCGTGGTGTATGTCAGGATGGCAAAAGAAGCATATCATGGATGAAATTCATTGCAGAAGAGAAAACTTCCTAATAGTGCCTGGCAAAATCGAAAGATCGTCAACCACCTGAATTCCAACAGGGAAGGACCACTGAATGAGGTCCACAATGCTGAGCACCCAGTGCCTGAAACATAACCCCTGTGTAAGTGGGGAGTTGCCTGCCATCAGGCTACCCTAAAGGAATCCTGCAAACAAGCTGTTGGAATATATGAGGGTGGAGGCAGGTGGGTTGGGAGCTGGCTGTGAGCAGACTGAGGCTGATGAAGCAGTGCTCCATTTGCCCTCGTGGACCACCTCCACCACCACGAGTCTTCTCCATACCAAGCAGATGTTCTACCATGGATCCCAAGCACGTTCTGCAGCAACTGCGTGAAAGAACTGGAAACGAGCTCAGTGGTAGAGATCCTGTTTTGCATGCAGAAGGTCCTAGGTTCAGTCGGCAACATCTCCAGGCAGGGCTGGGAGACACCTCATGCCTGAAACCCTGGAGAGATGCTGCCGGTTGGTGTATACAACACTGAGCTTGGTAGAGCAATGATCTGACTTGGTGTAAGGCCCCTTCCTATGATATAGTTTCCTTCCACATCAAGGAAAGGAGCTGCACTTTGGAGGCGATTAGCCCTGCTGGCATGGAAATCAATCCACCTAGTTCCTATTTACAGACGTTCTTGCTAATGCAGTGTGGAACTCGATGGCCTATCAGCATTTCCCACAAGCAATCAATTGCTCCATATTGCAGTGGGAAATTGTTAACTGGAGACACATCATTCTGTCCAACTTTATTTTCTTGCTCTCAAAGTCAGATGGAAACTACCATTCATAGACGCCCAGGAAGGACAGAAGTGACCAACTGGTAACAATAATTGGAGGGCGAAGTTTAAAAGAAAACTTTGAATGCCACAGCAAAGCTTCAAAGGGAGCTTTGAACTGCTCCTGGAACATTTTGCTCATGGGCTAAGTTGTTTTTAACTTGAAGTGATGAGCTTGTCAGTAAAAGGATGCATGGGGAATGTGTGCCATTTTCTTTTTGTATTTCTACATTTAAATATTTAGCCTTCCGAAGGGAATATTCTCATGGAGAGTAAGTACTCTTGGGTAGAGGATAAAGCATTCTGTAAATACCAACTGGGTTTATTCTGCAAGTTCATTAGTTTTCTAAAACAACACAACACTGATTGATTGGGGAGACTGCTTCAGGCAAACAAGAGAACTGAAGTGTGCTGGCTGCGCTATGAAATTTCTCAGTATCTTATGCAACTACTATCGAAGTTTCCAATCTCAAGGTCGCTTAAGAACTTGAGAGACCTTCTGAACCAGACCCAAGGCCCATTTAGTACAGCCCCTAGTTATCTGACCAACCAAATGTCTATGATTCATATGCATTTTAGGCCACCCATAAAATCTTCAAGGCGGCTACAGGGCAGTAAGTGTAATTTCTTCACATTTATATCCAACCTCTTTTCCGTCCTAGAAACCAAGGCATCATATGTGGTTCTGAAGTAGCTGCCTATCCAAGTACCAGACCCAGACCTGCTTTACTTCAAAGTAGTAGTGGACTTGTGTACCTTCAGATCACGCCCTGGCCTGAGTGCATTTGGGTTGTCCCACTCCATTTTGCCAAAGAGAACAAGAACACCACACTACTACAGATTCATGCCAATAATTTATTTTATTCTTGAACATTACACTAAACAAACTTGACTTTTCTCTGTTTCTAAAGTGATGAGAGGATTCAGCTGCTGCTCTTCAAACTGAGCTTGTCAAACAGGTACTCCCCTGTGCCATTCTGGGGCAGTCCCAGGCGCCTCAGGTTCGTGAGGTGGTCTCCCAGCTGCTTGATCACCTTCACCTCTTCCTCCAGGAACTCAGACTCCAGGAAGTCACACAGCTGAAAGGTGAAAGACAAGCACTGGTCAACTGCACATATTATTCACCATAAGCTATGGACAAAGAGAATCTGCCACCCTCCAGATGTTGTATTTCAGATCAAACCATCCTGCCTGAACAGTGATTAGAGTTTGTGATAGCTGCAATCCAACCACATCTGGAGGGTCACAGATTTCCTACCAGTGGATTAAAACTCTTGTATACATCTTGTTTAAGAACTGGGTCACAAGGGGAATAAGGCATGTAGCTTTAACTTTCTCTAGATAAGCTAAACCAAAACCAACAGCCACCAATTGTGTCAAACCATGGAAGGGCTACAACAAGGCTACACCCTTCCAGTTTTTGAATGCCACAGAGAAATTAAAGATATACTAGGCATTGGTACTGGTTTTATGGAAGGAAATAAACCTTGCATGTGGGATGGGCATTTTTACAGGTAGCTCAGAGCTAACTAACCCTCCTAATCCTATGAAGCACGAGGAAGGCTCCTGGAGAATGTAGCATTGTTGAGAACTTACATGAGGGTCTCCCTTCTCTGTTGCCAGCTTGTGCAGATCCAGCAAGGCCTGGTTCATCCTTTTCTCCAGCTGCAGGGCAGACTGCAGGGCATCCAGGCTGTTGCCCCACTCGTCCTTCTCTGGCTTCTGTGCCAAAAATCAAACACAGAGACTCAGAACACCAGCCTGTGTCTTGCAACATGCAAACAGCACCATCAAATCACAACACACTCTCCTCTCAAATGAAGCCCAGCTAAAGATCTTCCATGTTCACTTACCTTGAGGTCCTTCAGCAAGATGCGCCCCCCTCTCTTGTTCTGGTATTTCAGGAACTTGTCTGCATGCTCCCACTTTTCTTCGGACTGCTCCTTCAGGAACTTGGCCATGTGACACAAGGCAACATCATCCCGGTCAAAGTGGTAGGACTGGAAGGGGAAGGAAAAATACAGGTCATAGTCAGATGAGGACATGTAGCCAATATGCAAGCATATCCCTTCCCACCCCAGATGTGTCCATGTATTTTGGACTCACTGTTCTCCACTTTGCATTGACACAACATCTGAAAATATACTACTTGACTAGATGGCCTACTGTAGCAGTAGTACAGGAGCGTCTCCACCCCCATCGTTCTACCCGGACGCTGAGGTCCAGCACCGAGGGCCTTCTGGCGGTTCCCTCACTGCAAGAAGCCAAGTTACAGGGAACCAGGCAGAGGGCCTTCTCGGTAGTGGCGCCTTCCCTGTGGAACACCCTCCCACCAGTTGCCAAAGAAATAAACAAGTATATGACATTTAGAAGACAACTGAAGGCAGCCCTGTTTCGGGAAGCTTTTAATGTTTGATGTATTATAGTATTTTAATATTCTTTTGGAAGCCGCCCAGAGCGGCTGGGGAAGCCCAGCCAGATGGGTGGGGTATAAATAATAAATTATTATTATTATTATTATTACAGATAGAGAGTTGGTTGACCACCTTCAGCCCCCAGACCTGAGCTTCCCCACAAGCACCCTCCACGTAGAGGTAGTAAAAGCAAACTAAAACCCCCTCCAGTGTACTGGAAAAGCTTCCTAGTTACCATAATAACTACATTCTTACAGTGCAGAATGCTAATTATAACAATTCAGCATGGTTATTTCACTAAGGGTTATAACAGGTCTGGAGTTGAAAGACATGATTAAAGCATCAAGGGTCTTCCAAACCCTGTAACTGTTACAGTTTATCAGAAGCACATTCTCCCACCTATAGCACACTTACTTAGAAAAACAACCCAATAAGCTACATGAGACTTGAAGCTTAACAAACATACTTAAGACTGGGGTAAATCTAAAATGACACAAACAAGTTGCAACCAGGTTCTTCCTATTAGATAGCCAAAAGTCACTTACCATAGACAGATAAACATAGCTAGCATTCAACTCCAGATTCACCAGCTGGTTCAAGGTAGCTTCACAGTCAGCATGGAAGTTCTGGCACACCTGAGAAGACATCTCTGTATCCTAGCAAAATAAACTGAGACCAAACAACACTACAAGCCCTACACTGCTGGTGGTGTAGAAAAACGGGCAGCCCTAGTGGTTTTTATACCATTTGGGGAAGGTAACTTGTTTGTGATTAGCAGCAGAATCATCCAATAGAAATGCCAGTTGGCTCTGGGGGTGGGAGAATGACTCAACAGAATGGGACAAAGCTAGCAGCTGATGACAATTTGGTCTCCACCTAGTAATCAAGTCTTATTTGACCATTTTCTGCCCTTTTTTTTTTTTAAGAGAGAGAGGGGGGATACTTAATCAGTTTTTTTTGCACTACTTTGTGGGTTGTTTCCATCACAGCTGCAGGAGTTTAAGGAAGAAGCATGAATATGTAGGGAAGAGCAAAGACTCACAGCACAATCCTAGGGCATGCCTACACAGGAACAATTCCATTGAACTCAATGGGACTTGCTTCTGAGTAGGCATGCATAGGACTACACTATGAACTTTGAAGAGATGTGCAGAGCTGGGAGTGAATTCATGCATAAGAGCAAATCTGTCACCTTCTTCATTCTCCTGCACAAGTGAAAGACGAGCATATAGGAACTCGAACTGGGTGTGTGTGCAAATTTTACAATTATTCATCATAACCTCAGATTCAGTAAGAGATACATAAGGTAAAGTATTGTACTCAGCCTTGAGGGCCAGTTTGGTGTAGTGAGACAAAAGCATGGGTAGCTATCATGGCACCCACCAGATGTTCCTGGAGTCCAACAACATCTGGAGGACAACAGGAGTCTTTCTTAGCCCATTCAGGAGATGCTGGGGTTTGGACATAGGAATTTATTCATGCAACCCATGCATTATTACCTTTCCTCTTATGCAGGGATGAGGAATCTGTTGCCCTTCTGATGTTGTGGAACTACTGCTCCCACCGCCCCTGTCTATTGGCCACACTAGCTTAGGCGGATGGAGACTGGAGTTCAACAACATCTGGAGGGTCAAAGGTTCCCCATCCTTGCATAGCTGTCAACGTTTCCCTTTTTTTAAGGGAAATTCCCTTATTCCAAATAGGATCCCTCGCAAGAAAAGGGAAAAGTTGACAGCTATGCATCCTTGCCAAAACCAGAGATCAATAAAGGAACAGGATAGGGGGAAACCAATTCATCACCCATGTGGATTACCATTGAACATGAGCGGTGAAAGCGCCATTCTCTACAAGTGACACCACCATGCATGGATTGGTGCAGCTCCCTTTTAGGATTTTGTATTATTCCACCCCCCCACACACAGAGAGGTAATGGATTGTCAGGTGACAGATAGAACAAGCACACATAGACAGGCTTGTGTTTTCCTCTTAATGTTTCAACATGCACTTGAAGAGTAATGGCAGCAGCAGCAGCAACAAAAGCAATTTTATTATTTATATGCCGCCCATCTGCCTGGGTTGCCCCAGTCACTCTGGGCAGCTCCCAACAAAATATTAAAAACACAGAAAAGATCAACCATTAAAAGCTTCCCTGAACTGGACTGCCTTCAGATGTCTTCTAAAAGTCATACAGTTGTTTGCCTGTTTCATATCTAATGGGACGGTGTTCCACAGGGTGGGCGCCACTACCAAGAAGGCCCTCTGCCTTGGTCCCTGTAGCCTCACATCTCACAATGAGGGACATGCCAGATGGTCCTTGGAGCTGGACCTCAGTGTCCAGGCTGGACGGTGGAAGTGGATATTACTCCTTCAGGTATACAGGGCCGAGGCTGTTTAGGGCTTTAAAGGTCAACACCAACACTTTGAATTGTGCTCGTAAAGTTTGAGCAAGATTTCTGTATCTCTCACTGAAGCACCAGAGACAACTCTAGAACTCATGAACATCCAATAAAAAGGAATGTTGGAAGATCCAGGACAGATAAAACGAAGTCCTTCCTCATGCAGTTAAACTATGGAAGGCAATGATGACTACCAACTTGGATGGCTTTAAAAGAGGAATAAAGAAAAACATGGAGGACAAAGCCATCAATGGCTACTAGCCACCATGGCCATGCTGTGCCTCTATGGATGGAAGCAGTAATGCTTCTGTATACCAGTTGCTTGGGGTGATGGTTTTGTGATGGGGTCATGCTTATGGGTTTCCAACAGGCATCTGGCTGCCCACTATGAGAACAGGACTAGATGGGTCATGGCCTTGATCCAACAGGACTCTTGTTATGTTCTTATGACACAGCACTAGCTTATGACATCCTGCACATCACTGGCCTTTCCAGAAAGCCCTGCATTGTGGTAAAAATAATGGCGATCTGCTGCCCTTTATTGGTACCCAAAATCTGATGCCAGGGATGGGTTACTCCCAGTCACCCTATGTTGGTCCTGTCTGGCTTCTCCTTCCACACTATGCCATTCTGATCAATGGGTGCATTTAGGAGAAAATGTCTCAGGTGAACCTACCTCACAGGGTTATTGTAAGGATAAAGTGTGGAAATCTGAATATATATACCTCTGTAGAGGAACAGTGAGATTGAAGTGCCATTAATAAAACTGTAAGAGCATGAGAACATGCAAAGAGCCTGCTGGATCAGGCCAGTGTCCTGTTCTCACAGTGACCAGCCAAATGCCTGTAGGAAACTCACAAGCAGGATTCAAGTGCAAGAGCAGTCTCCCTCCTGTGAATTGGAACAACTGGGATTCAAAATCTTTAGTTCAGGCATCCCCAAGCTTGGCCCTCCAGATGTTTTGGGACTACAATTCCCATCATCCCAGACCACTTGTCCTGTTAGCTAGTGATGATGGGAGTTCTAGTCCCAAAACATCTGGAGGGCCAAGTTTGGGGATGCCTGCATTAGTGTCTCCAAACATGGAGGCAGAGCACTGCTATACCTGAGAGTAAACCCGTTGAAAAACTGGAATTTGCTTCTGAACAGATAGATAGATATAGATTGTACTGAAAGAGATTGAACATACGATTGGCAATAGGGCTTATCAATTCCACAATGTTCACTGAACTTCACACTGGCCAGCATAGGTGCCAACTCCCTGGGGCCCTGTGTGCCCGAGCACCCACAAAATTCCCCATTATGAGGCTGAGTACCCACAAATTTCAGTGCCAGGGCCATGCATGCTGTATGGCACCCACAGCCCCAGGCACCCATGGTCACGGGGCCAAGTTGGCACTCCTGTAATGGCCAGAATCACCTTCCAGAAATTTTCACCTGTGACTTCATCAGATGTTTCATTAGCAGAAATTCTGCAAGTGAAATCTTCCCATCTATGTGGGTGTGTTGATGGGGGAAATTTCACCAGCTGTTTTCTTAAAGATGTAGGAGCCCAGCTAGAAAACAAAGTTGTCAAAGGACCTTGTTGTAGGCAGACCGTTAAATTATTGAATTTTTAAAAATATAATAATTACAAGCCAACACAGTCAAAGAAAGTACAGTAAAATCAATAGTTTAGAAAAATAATAACGAAAAGGAAGGAAGAGTAATTGTGTTGCACCATCCCACCCAAAGCAATATTGTTCGGTATCTTTACATTACATGCAGCCTTTCAAACTGAAATTGGAATTTATTGTTGGGAAAACTCATAAATTAAAAATGCTGGAAGGGGGTGGGTGTGGGGAGGGAGAGGAGGAGATAGTGTCCCTATGCTCAGATGAACTTTTAATGCGTTTCTGTTGCTCGTAGAAATTGCTGTCAGCGACTTAAGCAGAACTGCAACTTTCAGACTTCTAGATGTGCCAAAGCAGGGGTCAGCAAACTTTTTCAGCAGGGGGCCAGTCCACTGTCCCTCAGACCTTGTGGGGGGCCAGACTATATTTTGAGGGGGGGAATGAACAAATTCCTATGCCCCACAAATAACCCAGAGATGCATTTTAAATAAAAGGACACATTCTACTCATGTAAAAACATGCTGATTCCTGGACTGTCCACGGGCTGGATTGAGAAGGCGATTGGCCGGATCCGACCCCCAGGTCTTAGTTTGCCTACCCATGTGCCAAAGGCTTCAAAGTGCTTTACAGAATGATGTGGAGCTGGAGAAAGACATCATCACACAGTTCGGGGCTATCCAAGGTTTTTGGATCCAGGGACACGTTTGCAAATGTGAAGAATTGCTGGGAATCCCCAAAATACCCATCTGACTGGGAGAAGCGCATAATGCCCAGAACCCCACTTCCAAACAGGTAAAATAACTGCAATGCCCATCTCCCCCCCAAAAAAACCCCAGGTAACTCCCCTCTTACACAACCTCAAAAGGACCCAAAATGCATTAAAAAACAACTTAGGAAGTTGGTTTGGTGAGTGCCAAAGGGGTGTCTCAAGTCATCACATTGGGGACTCCAGATGTAGTCGTTCTCCTGTGCCTTGCGCCATGTGTTTGGGGTATGCAGTATTGGTTCTGCACTGAACCCCAAATGCATCACCCAGCAGCTGATCAGCCAAGCACCTGTGTGAGAGGAGATGAAAGAACAATGGTTTTTCAGCCATCAAATGCCTGGGCAAACTTGATCCTGGTCTATCTAGGAGGCTTAGTTTGGTCAGAATTTAGTGTACACTTCCAGAGTTAACACTAAATACATTACTTCTGGTAAATGAGCCAATATAACCACTAGAGGGCTATGCAAATTTGTGTGCCGGGCTTTTTAGATTCTTCTAGCCATGTACTATCTGAAACCAAAGGGGCACATTGGTTTCCAGGTGTGATTTTTCCCCCCAGCTCTCCTACCCCATTAATGAGACAATGAACACTGCACTAAGTGAGAAAGGAGTTTTCTTAACCAGGAACTCTGGGAAAGGCTGACTACTGGAAAGCAGGATAATTTTGGTGTTCTGCTGGAAAACTCTGCTGAAGCTTTGCATACTCCGCTGATCATACTTTTCCCCCTTCCGGCCATTTTCTCTTCCAGAAGGAACATAAGGAGCCATGGCACCCAGATGGAATGGCATGATCTTGAAGCCCCATTTCCTCAAAGTCTGGCAAAGACAAGTGACCCCATCAACCTGCAAAGAAGACCCTAAGGATGAAGTAT